AAAAAGTGTGAGGAGAAAGGCTGTTTGTTTCTGAGGCAGGTGGGTTACGTCGTCCAGTGCTTGGGTGCCCACGGATCAAACGGTCCGGATTTAACCATCCGGTTCTGCAAAACATTTTGTGACATCAAAAAATTCTGACGTGGATAAAAAGGGGTAGGATTTGGGAGAGGTAATGACGAGCAGATGAAGTGGTAACCATTGTTAGCTAACTTATTTTCGGCTGGAAATCGGCCGGGCAGATACTGCAACACATTCCCGCCGGAACGAAACTGAGGATCGGATGGGTTAACTGAGCCAGTATGGACACTAGCATGAGGAATAAATTGGTAAAACGACCGTGGTGGAAACGGGTTAGGGGGTGGGGGACGCATTGCTTCCATTGGAGCAAGAGTTCTATTAAACGGCGGGAAAATCGGCATATTAGGCCTAACTGCCTAAATATGAGGGCTGTGGGGCAGTTGGGGACACGCTACGTTTTGAGTCGGGGTATTTGAGGCACCGTTAGCCGATTGTGGGGGAAAAGATTATTACAGGCTCAGCCAGTATCCCTAGAATACTTGCACACACCAAGAAACGTCACCGACCTAGTTTGGGGACACTTAAACGCTTCTGTCAGACTTACCAGCTGCCATCAGCCAGTGACCACTCAACTGCGGTTGCCGGCGCATCTGCAGTCGGTGACTTAATCCCCTAGGTCACTGAGGCCCTTCGCAATCCGCGCCTCAATAAAATCGAAGCAGAACGGTAAGGGGCATATAACGTTAAGGTGGCGTGAGGGGGAGGACGATTTCGTACCACATGGCTTGCATTTATCCGTCTATTTGAAAAATCTTAACCACGTCGCCCTCCCCCTGCCTAGTGCCTTTATTATCCGTTGTATATCGGTATGTAAACGCGATAATTTTCCTCCCACGCCTGCGCCTGCCTCGGGTACAACAACTCGACGCTAAGAAAAGCTAGAGAGCATTCTGATGAATCAGTTTTCATCGACTGAAAAGCATTAGGCAGGCAGCCTTTAAAAAAATTGATTATGGGTCACTGCTCCCCATTTTCCCCTTGGCATTATCTTTGAACTTTTGGCGTCGTTAATTCTCCCTCCCCAACAACATACAATCCTTCGCTCTGCTCCCTCCCCATTTCATCGTAAATTTAGACGGCAACAGATTTATTGCATAGATATCCCGAACGCAGCAACCCAATATATACCGTAATCCTTGAATCAGGAGGCGTAAGAACCAAAAAACTCGGTTTGTGATATTTTGATGCACGCGTTTGGTGAAATAATCTGTATAAGCAGACAAATAGTCACGCCTTCCCGAACAGATGTGTACTTACGTCACGAACAACCTGATAAAAAAAAGTCTTTCGGCCTCCCCATATATTTTTGTTTTTCAGGAAAACTTTATTTTGATCAATAAAAATATCCTCTAATGAACAAACATCAGCAGTTCCATTAAATGTCCTGCCAAGCCGACTAGATATCCGAGAGTGAGTGGATAAGGTGGGAACTGAATTATGACGAGGGAGGGGATGACAGAGATGCGGGTAGATGGATGCAGGACTGTTTCGGACTTACTCTGCCTGCGTTCAGTCAATCAAAAACCGCTTCATCGTTTGGGGCCAGAAACACAAACAGGCACGTGCACGCCGCGCGGTTGGTCAATATAGTAGGTCTGTAAAACGGTGCGCGCCTGTTCCTGCATGGATTTACTTGTTATCGAAAGTCATTCACCTGCAAAAAGAATAAAACGTCTTCAAGTGCTACAAAATGCGCATATGCCAGCGTCCGCGATCCTTCATTCAAAGGTATCCCTAATTCCATAGAAAAGATTTAAATATTCTCCGCTACTTAAAAGTATTTGAGTACAAACCTTTTATACGAATCCCAGATGGCTTGTACACTCAACACTGTTGAGGTGGTCAGGGAAGCGAGAGGATCGAGTTATTTCATCAGCTGACAGCCTTCGTCAACACACTGGACTAAATGCCAAAATGTCCTCCTCACAATCGCTCATTCGAATCCCTCGTCGGCCTGGTCGCTCGCCTGCATCCCAATCGAAGTGCGGTTGCATAAGCGCGATCAGTGACCAGGGTCAACATGTGTCACGCCCGCATTTTGTAGAAGATGCAAACATCGCCAAGAGTGCTTACACGACAAGGGGCTCCACAAATATACCCTGTCCGCAATGTCTGGACAATGTCGGTGAAGTCCTTATATACACATCAATCGCCTGGTGTAACCCGCCAGCTTCAAAATGACGCACGAAGCCCGGTATGTGAACATCTGCAGTACCTACGTGTGAGACGTCTGTACTCTAAATTCTGGTCCATATGGAGTGGAACCTATAACATGTGTGGAGCATGTAGACGAATGCTAGGTCAACATCCGCGCCAATACTGTGAGATCCGGATTTGCCACTTGTATGTGAGCTTAAGAACGCTCATCACTTTAAATCAGGATAGTATGTTGAAAGTTGTGTCTTGGAAGGCTGTCAACTGATAGGGTAACTAGATTCTCTTTGGAGTCGAGAGCCGAACTACAAAGGATTTTTCCCATTATGATCTTTAAGTAACCCTCCCCCGCCCATCGCATTCTAACAATCCCTGCCTCGATGGGCTTAGATATCGACCCTTACACTCCTACCATGATTACTAACGGTGGTAAGAGGCGCATTTTCAATGGAAACTTGCATTTCATTACTGGACCAGTCTTGGGCGGGTATCTTGGTGGAAGAGCAGGCCCTGAGTGCGCCACCCGGAAGGCAGTGATCGGTCGTCACGCTGCCGCCCACTGCAACCGATGACAACTCACCACGGTCGCTGATTGCACTGCGCCAACACAACAGATCATAATAAATGAAGATCACAGAGCTGGTTTCAGAGAAGGCGAGAACTGACAGAGTTGAGTACGCCAGTGCCGGACAAGGCAGAACTCTGGGGAATAAACCTGTCCACGGACTGCTAAACAAGCTTGGGAAACTATTTGTACAGAACCTGGAGCAGTCAGGACTGGGGTCACTCAGGTGTCTGTGGCGAGGGCGTGCCTGAGTACCTGCTGCTGCTGTCGCCATGCGCAGGACTGACTGGTAGGCTTTAGGAAAATTCCGCAAGAGTCGGATAAGCCTCTAAACTACGTACAGTTAGTGACCTAACTCATGAAATGTGTCGAAATTTACGAATGATTGTCAATCACTCGCAAACCGACACAATTTCATGAGTCCAATGTCTATGTTAATTAAGTACAGGTTTGGAATAATTAAAAATATAAAAGAAATATTGGCAACAAATGGGAGCTGGCACCCAAAACCTCCGTTACCTAGAGATAATGCCTACTCTATCTATTTGAGTAGGTTATAGCCCTACATATTTGTTGTTTCATCCTTACATGGCTGGCGAGTGACAGTAGTAGCTGTCATCTACTACAATCTACAAACTCGGTGACCATTGACTGATGGATCACTTCACGGCACTCTTCCAGGAGATGGGACGACAAGTACGGGCCCCTCAGGATTTCAAGGACACGGTCATAGTTCATATGCACAAGCGCAAGGGAAACCGGCAACTCTGTGACAACCGCGGAGGCATCTCGCATCTCAACATCACCGGAGAAGTCTTTGCCTATCCTCTCCTCAATCGTCTAAACGGACTGTAGACGGAAATCTAATGTGGCTTCTGATGACAACGCCGGACCACCGACATGATCTTCGCCACCCGCCAACTGCAGGAAAAGTACCAGGAGATGCGAACCCGCCCCTACAATATCCTCGTGAAGTTGACGAAAGCTTTTAACACAGGAAAATCATACTGTCCTGGGCGATTTACGCACATTTTATGCCAGCTCCACGACAAGATGATGGCGCGTTTCACGAATAATGGAGCACCCTCCGAGCCATTAGCAGAGAAGCAGGACTGAGTACCCGTCCCCACCCCCCTCAGTTGCACTTTCTCTGCTATGTTGGTGGACGATTGAAGTGATGAGCGCCCTGGGATACGGGCATCTCAACAAGAGGCGCTTGCAGGCCCCAGCACGGCTATCTGCAACAATAGTCCACGACCTGCTCTTCGCCGAGGACCACACGCCCAACACCATGAATGAAGAGGGCATGTAAATAAGCATGGACCTCTTCGCCGCCGAGTGTGTCAACTTCGGACTGACCATCAACGCGAACAAAACGGGGGTAATACACCAAACATCGCCGGACGCCACACACAGGGCTCCTCGAGCTGAACACTGTGGACAACTTCGCCTACTTGGGCAGCACACTCTCAAGCTGCATCAAAATCGACGACGAAATGGCCGACTGGATCTCTAAAGCCAGCCAAGAACACAGCCGGTTACAGAACTCCCTACTGAATCGCCACGGCCTTCAAATGAATACAAATTTAAGAGGTACAAGGCCGTCGTCCTGACTCCACTGTTGTATGGAGCGGAGACCAGGGTCGCCTACTCCAGCTCGTTGCAGACAGAATCCCAGACACGAAAGTCCTGGAGCGGACCGGAATCCTTGGCATTCACGCCGTGTTGGGGCAACTGCAACCGCGAAGGAGCGACCTGCTGGTGAGGGTGGACGAAGAGCGATTAGCCAAACAACTCTTCTACGAGGGTGTCGTCACGGGTGCTCACCGACCGGGAGGACATAAACGCCGCTACAAAACCCCCCTGCAGAACTACTTGAAGCGATTGCAGATCAACCTGGAGACTTGGTAGATTCTCACACAGAATAGATCGGTCTGGAGAAGGGAAGTAAAAACTGGCGCAGCAATCTACGAAGCAACCCGAATCGTCGCCACCACCTAAGCAAAATGAGAAGCTTGCAAGTTTCAGGTGCCCCCGACCCGCAACATCGTCACTCAACCCAACATATCCGCGCTGTCAACGAACATTCAGCGAGTCTCATCGGTCACCTTTGGGCCCGACGACAACAGTGCCCACCCTCACTGCCGTTGCTCCGAATCCCCGTACCCCACCCCCATATATCGCGGACACCTCCGCGGTGATGATGAACGCAACCTCCTCTACCTTCACTGCTCTCAACCGAAACGCACCAACCGCCTCGTCAGCCACCACCACCACCACCACCACCACCACCACCACCACCACCACCACTCCCAGCGATGTTGACTCGGTCTCAGCTGTCCTCATTTCAGTCGCACATTCGCCTCGGGCATCGACCTGGTCGGTCACCTGCGAATCCATCGCACTGAGACTAGCGAACCAGTGCCAGGAGCACCAGCATACACCAGACGCCGTTGCCTTAGCTGTCCACACTGCATCCGCACATTTACTCATCGCACGGATCTAAGAAACCGCATACGTATCCATGAAGTCCTGTGATAGAATACTGCCGGGTATACCATTACATCACATGTCTTCTCATCAGCATCTGTAACGCACATCAACGCCACCCATCATCACACACCGCACTTCTCATGTAACTTGGGAGTGTGTTCCCCGGTCCTTTCTCCATATGGCCCCTCTGCCGCATGTGTGATCCGAACCTGAGTCTAACGCGGTGCGTTAGACGTCGTGGCTTCGAAGTTTCCCATCTGACGATAGAACTGAGACCTTACAGTCAGCCCAGTGTGTAATTGTGCGGAGCGGCGGACTGGTGGATTTTGAGTAAGGCTGCGATGGTTCCCTCTCGGCGTGATGTCTGGCACTCTCACGCATTTGAGACCAACTCCGCCCATCCTCTTTTGTGCACAATCCAGGTGCCAGGTCGTGTGTGTGTGGCACGCGCAGACAGGGCCTTAAGCTCTGTCAGCCCCTGCGACCATTTCCCGCATCAGACGACTGACCGGTTCGGACAGTGGCTGGGGCCTGGGAGTGGGAATAGAGTGAAGTCGACGACTCAGCGCATCTTCCTCGCTACAAACAATCTAATGTGCTCGATGCGATAAGAGCCATGGCTTGAAAGGTCGCCAACTGAGGAGAAAACTCGGACCTCGCAGACGGCTCAGAATGTGTGTTGGTGTGGAGTGACTAAGTAATAGGCTGGGGGTCAGACTGCAATGGCCGTGGTGGCTCAGTGGGCTCCGAGCCGGGTGTGGCGGCGTCCCTAGGGCCGTGCAAGCCATCCGCGCCTTCTCTCGCCTCCCATCTTCTTGTCTCTGTCTTGAAACCGGGCCCAAGTCGGTTAGGAGGAGTGAGCACGGTAGATGCTGCGTAAGTCTACTATCATGCGCTAGTCATCGCCCCTGCTCTCAACCTGCTGTGAAGTACATGAGGGACACCGTCGGCCAAGACTGTCAGACTGTCGTATGAGAGAGTGCTATAGACTCCGAGCGATTCTACAGCCACTTTAAACTAATTCACGCGCAGTTCACCGTCCGTTTCGGTAGGGGCGGCGGTGATTTGTCAGACTTAAAAGTGTGACAATCCCTCCGTTGTTGGGCTAATATCTGCTAATTCAAGCCCCCTTAGCCGGCCCCCGGCTTCTGGCAGCTTGGTACAGCCTGGACACGGGCGAACAATGGGATAGAAAGAGAAGGCGGCCGAGCTTACTGCGCAGTTTTTTCACATTACCATAAAACCGCACAGACACTTTTTTATCACGGCGCGTCAGATATTTCGACCTGAGCAGAGATACTTGATCCCTAAAAGTGGGAGTTCAGTTGTAAAGATTTGCCTTCGGCGGATTCTGTAACAGGCGCGTAAATCTGGCCATCATTACGTCTAACTAGTTTGAGTAGGAAGGAAGCGACAGTGAAGAGGATGATGCTGGTACTCATGCAGACCCGCACAGCATCCGTCTCGCCCTCCTTCTCGTAAATGCAGTGCTGACTGAGGCAAACTGAGGGAAGAACTGCAGCGTATCCTGCCCCGACCGTCAGGGCATCATGCCACAAACGCGTGACAAGCGAACGATCAAGGTCATGGCCCCCTGTTCTTTGTGCTGGTCGGCATCCCGTCCCCCTTGCCATATACCCCGCCGTTCCCACAAGCCTCCTCACTTGGGCCTTCTATCGTACTCAGTACTAGTCCTATTTCCAATTAACCTTCTGTTTTGCATACATAACAAGAACCACTTCAGTCCTACCCTCGTCTCAAAGGCAGAACGAGTTGTCTCAACGGCTGGTAGCCGTTTGGTGCATGACTTTCAGTCCCTGGTAGTATTTCCGTGCGTGTCAGAGCCGGGGGTTACTTGAGTCATGGTTGACGGGACCTCAGTCTATCAACAAGTGCAACGACATCCCCACTCCATATTCTGTCCTGAGGCATAGACTGGCCAAAGCAATTGACCACTCGGGGAGCGCGCAAGCTGGTGAGCCAGATGGCCGAGCAATCATCACGCCAGCATCCAACACGGGTGATGAGATTTCAACAGTTAACAACTTGCATGCCGGCCATCAAGCCATTAACGCACCAGCTGGCAGTAATTCTTGATGAAGGGGAGCGCGGTTAATTATCATAGGTATGCGATAGCATAGCGGCTGCATCCTATAAATACTGCAACTTCCTGTGCACGAGCCACCCTTTTCTGCCACTGTCTCTGGTGATGGGTTCAAGTGAGAATCCGAAACGTCAGGCGAAAAAAGCCCTTGTTCCAGCAATCGCCTTTTCTTCTTCTTCTTCTTCTTCTTCTTCTTCTTCTGATCAGTGGACGTGGTGCTGACGGGGACAATCGGCCCGTCTGCACGTCCCACACACAATCTGACGTCTAACTTCACGAGAACCAGGCTTCAAAGAAACAGGAGAGGGGGCCGTTTGGGGTTCGCAGGGGTGAGACCGCCCCAAGGGCAACAGAAAGAAGGAGCAAATGCCGGTTTATCCCAGTTTCGAAGGGGAACCGGCCGGTCTCAGCAGCTGGCGACTGTTTAGGACACAAGTTTCGGCCCGTCGTAGTGTCCTCAAGAGCGTCGGACGGAAAGGAGGCATTTCCGTGTTGATATTCCTTTCTTTCCTTTACCATGCATCGGCGACTTATCTGAACACGTTGGCCAACTGGTGATGAGGGTGGGCGCGGTGATTGACCAAAGTCAAAGACCGCTAGTAATGCACGTGGACTGTGTGACTGACAGAATCAAACAACTCGTCTACGCATGCCACGAGCGACCTGATGCCGAACTCCACACGAGACAGGGGGCGGCTTGGAGTGGTATTACCGGCAAAGACAAGGGAGACTGGAATGGCCATTTCTGGCTTATTAGCCGTCGTCAGCTGAGGCTCGAGAGAGAGGGAGAGAGAACCCGTAACGAAGTAACGATCAGTGAGCGCCGCTCTACCATTGTATATTCCCGATCGCAACCGACAAGACAAAGAGAAAACAACCTGCAGATGGCAGATTCCCTTGTTAACCTAGACGCTGTCTACCCGACGAGCGCACGGTTGGCTTTTAGTAAAATGGCCTTTATAGGAAGTTCACCCAGAAATTAGCTGGTTCCTGAATCCAGAGAACCAGCAGTTGCTGATCAACAGTCATAATCTTGCCCGGGCTTAGATGGAAGAGGCTTAGCACTTCGACTGGCGATAACGGCAGTACAACGCAATGCTGTAAGTTTCTTACGCCTAATCACCAGAGCAGACAGCCTTGGACAAGCAGTACAGGCGGTTTGGGGAATCAGCCAGGAGTCAAAATCCTTAGGATCCCCGCAAATATGCCCGATGTTAGCGCGGGTTTAAGGGCAGCAAACCACGTTTCGGGGCTGGGTATGACTGTCTGACGAAGGCTAATAAGCCAGAAATGGTCATTCCAGTCTCACTTGCCTTTGTCGGTAATGATATTCCGCCTATATCATGCGCCGCTGTGCGGCTGCTGGTTGGGTTCGAGAGAGAACCCGTAAGGCACAACGGAAGGAGTGAGTTCCGTAAGAACGATCGGTGAGCGCCCACCTACCATTATATATTTCCAATCGAAACCGACAGGGCAACGGGCTCGTGGCCCAGTGGTTAGAGGCGTTGAAATTCTAACTAACCGGTCGCGGGACCCAGCCCCAGGTGTTCCACACTTCGGGGTCGAGTATGACTGGCTGACGACGGCTAATAAGCCAAAAATGACCATTCCAGTCTCCCTTGTCTTTGTCGGTAATACCATTCTGCCTATATCATGCGCCGCTGAGCGACTGCTGGTTGGGCTCGAGAGAGAGAGTGCCCGTAAGGCACAACGGGACGAGTGAGTTCCGTAGAAACGATCGGTGAGCGCTCCTCTACCACAACATATTTTATTTCCTCTACCATGCACTAATGACTTATTTGAATCTTTCCAACAACTGATGATGAGCGTGAACGATATGACCGACGAAAGTGAAGAGAACTAAACAGATAGTTGCTGTTAGACTAGGCTAAAAGGGGCGGGGCGGGAGGAGACTCACACTAATGGGCTGTTTTATGTCATGACTGATTGAAAAGGGGGATCTGGAAGCAGGGATTTGAGATAAATCGTCCGAGAATTAAATGAGCTGCGTCGCCCCTCTCATGCAATGTCTTCGGGTAACAAGCTCGGCTGAGGGGTTCATGCATTAGTAACACATTTTCTGAACTACGGTCGTTGTCGCGAGCCTTTAAGCGAGGTCAGTTCAGCAAAAATCCGGACCCTGTCTAGGGGACGCTCGATCTAAAGCAGTAATGCCAAGTCTTCTTCAGCCGAACTGAATTCTGTTGGAATTCATATCCGCAAATAGTGGATTGAAGCATCCTTAATTGAGAGATTACGGTCAGGCTTACTGACGGGAGCTATTGCAGTTTGCCATAACACCCTTAGTTGTGAAATTCTAACGCACCTGCATACTCCTCAGCATAACTGCCTACTGATGATTGTGCAGAGGGCGCATTTAATTGAGTACTGACTGCAGAGAAACACAGACCCGGATTTCTGTTCACACGCTATGACCAACCTTCTGGGTGATTCCGAGTCATCGATCTGTGCCACTGATAAACTCCGTAATTCTCTTACAGTTTTCTACGTGTACTTAACTTGGCATAGCAGTTATAATCTCCCCACTGTTCGCACTAATATTGCGGTTACCAATACTAATACTACTATTACTACTAACATTAATGTCACCGATACTACTTCTATTGCCACTGCTGCTGCTGCTGCTACTACTACTACTTCTACTATTACTACTGCTGCTGCTGCTGCTACTACTACTACTACTACTACTACTACTACTACTACTACTACTACTACTACAACCAGTAATACTACCGCTAGTACTACTACCACTGCTACTGCTACTTCTACTACTGTAAATACCACTACTAATACTGCCGCTACTACTAATACTAATACTACCGCTCGTACTAATACCGTTACTAAGGCCAGTACTACTACTGCTGCTACCACTACTACTACCACCACTACAGCGATTGAAGATCACACATGAACGGGAGTATCCATGGTTTTACTAGGACTCCAAGCAACCCCAATGATGCACGTCTTGGACCAGCGCGTCCCCGTTTTGACTACTCAGCCCGGTAAAGGAGGCAGGCCCCACCTAGAATCTCTGGTCCCGCATGGTACCAATAATCAATATGCTCGACTGACAAACATGGCCTAAGGTTTCATCAGCGTGAGATCTTTCTCCGAAAGTTGCGATTCTAGTTCCAAAATCAGTTAGAGAGGAGAAGTGGCTTTCCGCTCGTACCAGACAGCACGGAAAAACTGCCGCCTTGAAGATAGAGATAATCAGTGTTGAGTCCTGCGCAGAGACGCCGAATTAAGTTTGACTTCACACGTTTGGCAAGTGTCCTCTACAGGTCGCATCTGACCTAAAACGTACGAATTTATCTCGGCCTGGTTGCGTTCATGTTAGTGCACTAGAGCAGGGCTTCAGGCAGTCGCCGTGTCCGGAAAGGAGGTCAGACTTGGTAGGTGTAGTCGACAGTCTGTCTTTTCGCCACACCAACGGGGTGTCGGACAGAAAACAATCGATTTTGAATTGGACATCGCAAGTGGAGAAACGTCATTTACAAAAGAGAAAGTTTGCGTACTGAACAAATGTAAAACACCACACTTATTTCCTGACTGGTTCAACAGCGCACTGTTACACGGATGGGTATTGTACAAAAACAAATAATTTTTATTTGTGCGCAGATGGGCTAAAATGATTAGCAGTGGTCATTATTCCTCTATGCAAACGTGCAGCCTGTGTTTAGTTTTTTCGCCACGCGGGGTGTGGGGGGTGTCCATTTAAGGTACGCTTGTGCATGAGTAGTAGATTGCACCTCGAAAACTGTGACTGTTCCTCGCAGTATTTAACTAGCGCCCAACTCTCATCTGTGGCTCCTCGAGGCTAGGCCTTGCCTAGCGACACCCCTGGTAACCGCCTCGGACGGCGGGCTAAACCAACTGAAGGCACCCCGTGTGGTTATGTGCCCTACCACCCGGTAATTCTGCCCCCATTCCCATCCTTCACTCCCCTCCCTTCTTCCTCTCCCTTCCCTCTCTCCCCCCGCCTCCTTCATTCCTTCCAGTTCATATGTTCTCAAGCGATCCAGGTCAAATCAGGTCGCTCTCCCCTAAACAAAGCTGTGACCCAAAGTAGAGTTCGTCAGCTGTCTGGGGTGTCCAAGCATAGTAGTGCCTACCCCCTCGACGGAAAGGGACTAGAAAAGGTGCCCTAAATACGCCATATTTAAGTATACTGTGGTTCGTAAATACAAAACTCGCGGTCGAAAAACAACAAAGAATCCCAACGTTCCTCGTCCCTCTTCCCCGCAGCCCCACCCCACAGGCTGCTGAGATGAATCCGTTCGCTCTGTCGGCCTGGAATGTTCGTTCCCTTTTAGACAATCCGAGGAGCAACCGGCCGGAGCGTAGGTCGGCGCTAGTCATTAGAGAACTGGCGCGCAAAAGATGCAAGCCGCTGCTCTCGGCAAGACCCGCTTCTCCGGACGAACTGGAGGATGTGTGTGCCGGTAACACAAAGGCAGAGCGACGCGACGCTGGCGTCACCTTTGTCATCCGAAACCACAGCGTGAGATGACTGCCCTGTCTGCCGCAGGGCATCAACGATCGCCTCGTAAGCCTGCGCTTATGTCTTCGGGGTTCCAAATTTGTCGCCTTCGTCAATGCCTACGCCCCCCTCCCCCCCCCCCCTCCAGTGACAAGCTCCGACGAAGCGAAGAGCAAGTTCTACGAGGACCTGCGCGCACTTCTGGAGACTTTACCGAAGGCGGAGAAGCTGCTTGTTCCTGGCGACTTCAAGGCCCGCGTCGGGACAAACTAAGCTGCCTGGGATGGGGAGTGTTGGGTCCTCGTGGAATCGGCGGCTGCAACAACAACAGCCTCCTTCTCCTGTGAACCTGCCCATAACACCGCCTCCTCCTGACCAACACCTTCTTCTATCTGTCGACGCGGAATAATGCCACCTGGGCGTAGCCTCGACCACGGCGCCGGCAGCTGCCGGACTACCTTCTCGTCCGACGGCGAGCTCAACAGGGCGTGCTGGTGGCGAAAGTCATCTGCAACATCGACGGCCGGACCGACCACTGGACTTGCCCTCTTCGGGTTTCGGCTGAATCCTCGCAGGAGACTACCACGTGGTAAGCTTAATGCCGTTCAGTGGAATGTGCCTGCTCACCACTTGGATTTTAACAATCAACTGACCCATCGACTAGAAAACCTTAAAGCTCCAGATAAAAACGCCACCGTGGAGGTTCGGTGGTGTCATCTAAGGAGTACCATTCACTCCATTGCCTTGGACGTCGCCGCACACGTACGTCGTCAGCGCCATGACGGCAAAGACGGCAACCTTCTCGCCTAAAAGAACAGATTACATAAAGCCTGCATCGACCGTCGGACAGACGCAAACGAAGCGCCTTCTTCGGATGTTGCGACCTGCGCAGCAGCGGTTGCAGGATGAATCGTAAGAGTGAGGAAATCCGAAGATATGCGGATTATAACAAAATGAAGAACTCCTTTGCCTCCGTATCAAAGACACCGAGCCGCTGCTCAGCTCCGGAGGTACAACACGCCTGACGGAAATGTTGCAAATTCTTAAGCGTTGGACCCAGCACTTCAGAAGTGCCCTCAACCGACCAAATACAATCTCCGACGCCGCCATCGACCGGCTCCCCCCCCCCTCCCCTCCAAAGTGGAAGGAATGACGATCTGGATCTTCTGCCTTCTCTCCCAGAAACCATGTGAGTCGTGCACTAACACTCTAGCGGGAAAGTATCGGGATCCGACGCGATCGCAGCTGATGTTTACGAGTACGGCGCCCTCCGACTAAAGTAAAAACTTACAACGATATTGTAGAAGATGTGGCGTCCAGTATAATCATCCATCTCTACAAACGGAAAGGAAAACGGCAAGTCTGTGATAAACACAAAGGAGTTTCGCTGCTCAGCACTGTTAGAGAGATCTTCACGTGCATTATCTCAATCGTCCCAACGACCGTTCAGAACATGGACTTCTCCCGAAAAGTCATTGTGACTTCCGGCGACATCGCGGAGCCACCGCCATTTCCTTCGTATCTCACCAGCTACACGTGAAATACCAGGAGACGCGGATCCGCCTTTACACTACCTTCGTGGTCTTGACAAAACCACTGGCACGGTGAATAGCGATGGATTGGGGAAAATGATGGAAAAAAATTGGCTGTCCTGAGCGATTCACGCATATGGCGCGTCAGCTCCACGACGGCAGAATGGCATGTGTCACGGGCAACGGGATCGTCTCAGAAGCAGGCGAAGCAGGACAGCGTGTTAGCCTCCCATACATAATCACTCATTACATGAGCCTATTCGGTCGCCTCCATAATGACACGCCAAGCGTATTTTTCACGCCCGACAACTCTTGAATCCCCAGCGTCCCCAGCACCCCATCCACCTACACGACGACCACTAGCAGCATAGCAGTCCTAACCAACTCAATATCCCCCGACCTATCCTGCGCACAGTGCCACCGCACATGCACATCACACAAGGGCCTTGTGGATCACTTGCATATCTATCGCACAGAAACTGCCGAACTAGTACCTGGAGCACCAACATGCGTCCACCGCCGTCGACTCAACCGTCCGCATTGACCTCGCGCATTCAACCATCGCATAGGCCTGCTCAGTTGCATGCACCTCCACGAAAATCGGCGGTAACTCGCTGTAGACTAGATAATATTGTCACACATTTCTCCACCAAAACGCGCACTGTCATTAATACCTCCAACGTGGTACCTCTCACGCAAATTAGAAGCGCGTTTTTCGGCCCCCCCCCTTAGTGTGGCTTCTCTGCCACATGCGAGATCAAAGCATCCCACCCCTAGTTGTGCGAAATCCTGGTGCTCCGCGTTGGGGGCCAGATCGTGTGCGTGGCACGCGTAAACGCGTTATCTTCAGCCCTGTTAGCCACCTCGTCTCAACTCGATGGACGACCGAAGCAGGCAGTCGACTGGTGCACGGACTAGTAGAGCGAGTGACGTCAACATTCATCGCATAATTTCTCATTGCAAACCATCTGACGCGCTTGAGACAACCACGGTTCAGTAGAAGGCGTGGCTTGAAAAGTTACCAGCTGACAATCAAATCATGCGTTCAGCTCAGTGTGTGTCTGTGAGCTGAGTTGCCGACTAATGGACTGAAAGTCAGACTGTGATGGTCCCTTCATAGTTTGTCCTGTCCAGTACAACCGTGGAGGGCTCCTTTTTACTTCTATTCCCCAGGACCTGGCGATCGAGATAATCGAGCTGCTTCTACAAAGCAAATACAATGAAACGGAGAATCGTCTTGGGCACGCCCAAGTCCTTCAGCTCCTGAAGTTCTGTCTCAGGACGTACTTCACTTTTGACGGCACAATCTACGAACAGGTGAAGGGCACAACAATGGGTTCGCCGATTTCGGGATCCGTTGCCGAGGCGGTCGTGCAACGGTTAGAGTCGCTGGTCATCCAACAGCACAACCCGAAGTTCTGGGCCCGGTATGTGGATGATAACTTCGTCGTTATCGATCGGCATCAACTGCTGACACTCAAGGGACATCTGGATACGGTCTTCCCGGACATACAATTTACAATGGAGGAGGAACAGAACAACCAGCTGCACTTCTTGGATGTCCTCGTATGCCGCAAAAATTTTGGTGGACTAAAGACCAAAGTGTTCAGGAAAACTACAAATACGATGCAAGTACTGAACTCCAACAGCAACCACCCAATCAGCCACAAACACATTTGTGTAGGGTCGCTCTATCGGCGTGTCCAAACGCACTGCAGACAAGATTGCCGAACTACAATACCTCCGACGGGTCTTCAAAGCCAATGGCTACACGCGCAACTTCGTCAACCGGTGCATCCGCAAAAGGGACGAAAGGCCTAACCGCGCGGACACCAAATCTTGGCGGGCGCTTCCGTATGTCAAGAACGTTTAGAAAGCTGTTGGCCGCCTTCTCGTACCACTTGGCGTTGGAGTTGCGCACAGACCGGAGGCAACCATCATGGACAAGGGGTCCCTTCATAATTACACACACGTGTGTCCGAACAGTCCACACCCTTTTTTGTTTAACGTTGTTGCTTGTGTGTTTAGGGGGTCAGGTCGTGTGTGTGGCACACGCAGACTGGCTCTCTAACTCCGTCAGCCACTGTGCCCACATCCCGAACCAAACGACTGACAGGTTCGGACAGTGCCATGGGCCTAGAAATGGGAAAAATGAATGAAGTCGACTATTCCGCACACTTTCCCCGCTATAAACAATCCGGTGCCCCCGCTGCTATCACGGTGCGCTAAAAGTGACTTGGAAGTCTGCCAACTGATGGGATAACTTTGACCTCACAGTCAGCCTGTTATGACCCGGAAGAAAGGTAAGACAGGAAGAGAGCCGATTTGGAGGACAAGCACTTTACTGGTAACTTGCGGACACGAGAAGTTACAAATTGTAAGAAAGATGCGTTATTTATATTGGCTCCTGTGCGTTCTGGAACATTCTGTCCAATGACGTGCCAGCCGCTGAGGGCGTTCTCTAGAATGTTCCTGCCCCGGGCGTGCTGGTCGCTAATTGGCCACCGCGTGCGCGCGATAGCCCGCCGTGGAAACGTCTATAATGATCTATCAGCTATTTATTGGTCGGCTCACGTGAGCAAAGCCACCCAACGTGATCGGCGCTGCAGTGCACGCAGGCCGGCCGGCCGTCTAACTTCACGCGTGTCTCGCGCCGCCGGCTTGGTCCCCTGTTCAGCGCCTTCGGCCGCGGCTCTACGCCGCTTGCACTCTCCATAACACAGTCCACTGTGTGTTTCTGCGGAGTGACGGACTGCGAGTCAGACTGCACTAACTCCTACGTAATGTGGCTCCTACGGTACTCCCACTCAGTGGCATCCAAGCCGATGTGGTGGTATGCTTAGCTGCGGGTTTTAAACGTGCTAACCACCTATGCCCTCTTCTGCCTCCGGTTTTCTTGACCTTGTCATGACAGGGGTTCGTGGTAGATGCTAAGCAAGTCTGCTATCATTATAAACTAGTTCATTCGAGAGTCACCGACCCCTGCTCCCACCCCAATGTGGAACACACGGTGGACGTCGTCGACAATGACAGTCGAACTGTCCTACGGCCCCTGCAACGGGCCACGCCGTGTACAGAGTGGGGGCACGACACGCGCTCATTCGGTAGAAAATTACGTCTCCTTTCAATTTTATAATCGAAGAAAGAGTAATATTTGATTTTAAAAAAGTTTCTAATTGTGGGACTTTCAGATACCACGAAATGGCCGTTCATGGATCGGCATATCTCTGCATGTACCAGTGTGGCTCGTAAAGTTAACAATATAGATAAATTGGCTGCCTGATTCTATAAACCCTATATGGCTCCCCTTTATTACCGTAGAGAAATGTGTGGTTTTCCGTACGCGGAAAATACATGGCTTGTAGTTTGGAAACCCTGAATCCATGTGTAACGGTAGAGTGAGTTCAAAATTATTCAGGAATTATTAAACTTTTATAAAACCGATTTATGTCCTTCGTCCGATTATAAAATTGAAAGAAGACGTACTTTTCTACCGAATGAGCAAAAGAATGAATATTTTTATGCATGTTTTACATGAAATATAATTGGACTTTTAGAGGCACCGAAAATCAATGAGAAAAATGCATGCTACATAAGTAGTCAATTTTTACAGAGTGTAGTTTTTGTATGCAGCTGGAAGGACGTTCATTCGAAAGCCGACATCCTGAGGTAACAGAAATATTATAGAATTATGTTACAGACTGACTAGCTTTACAATCCTACTAAATGTATCTTTTCGAAACGGAGACGCATTTCGGAATTTCGGTCGAAATTTCATGAGTTAGCCCACCTACTCTATATTCACAGTTGCATGGCACAAGTGGCCTCGTCTCGTGAGAACGAATTTCCCTGCTTTGTCAGGACTGTCAGGTGGTACCTCCAGACGACTTTCTTCTTATCCAGATGTTTTAACTTATTTTTTTGGTATACATGTTGGGTGTAGGTTTCTGGGCAACCTTCATCCGATGCTTATTCGGTTGTTTGAGAAAAGTGAAGTGCTCACCGGATCAAGGGGATTGAATTGCTGACTTTTCGAGGCGCTTGGCCAGCTCTCCATTATCAAAGCGTTTAGTGGAAAAATCGACCAGAATTCTGAATAGACGACCGAACTGGTTGGTATTGCGCTGATCGATTTTTGTCTTCTTTCGGTGCCCTGGTCCTCTGACCGTCGTTTGTGAATGTTGGTAGCCTCCTGTGTTGTGTGTCGTCACCTCAATTGGGGTCGGTTGCGCTTCTGCTCCCCTTTTGGACGAAATAGTCGCCGAGCCGTGTTTTCTTGGTATACTTGAGTTCCGTGTCACCTTCTTGTCCTGTACATGGCGTATGCAGTGACGTAGGACTTTATAAGCCGCAGGAAGGTCTAGATGGCTGTTGATAGAGTTGGCATCTGAGTACCATGCCGTAAGTGTGAGACGTTCTGTCCTTGAGGTGTCCCGGCCTACGACGGTTGCTCCTTGAATGTCAAAACCATGGCCAATTTCTCCAATTTTAGTCGCAAGCTGTAAGTTTGGGTCCATTCTCCGAGTTGCCAGTTTGTGCTCATGTAGGCGGGTCTGCATTTTCCGTCCGGTTTCTCCTGCGTGGAGGAGGGAGGGTTTAGTAGGTGGCTGTTTTTGGCACTTGCATCATCACAGAGTCGGGACTTTTAACTTTTACCCCTTGCGGGATGTCAATTGGAAAGAGTATTTCCTTTTGCTTAATAAAATTTCTCGCCAAAATAGATCTTTTAAACTCGATTTACTTGACTACTGAGGCGTTGGCGGCACGCCCAGGTGCGGTTTCGGCCGTGCCAACCTCCAAATCTCTCTTGTGTTGGTTGAAATCCTGGTTATTTGTTGTGTGGACCAGGGGGTGTGGTGGAACGCTAAGGTGAGGATCCGTCCGAGCCATCCACCTGCGGCCTCTCTCATCGCCGGTCTTCTTGACTCTGTCTTGACACCGGGCTCGGGCGAGGGAGGAGGAGAGAGTGTAGGTAGATGCTACGCAAGTCTACTGGCACTATAA